GTTCCTGTTGCCCAGGCTGGAGTGCAATGGCACGATCTTGGCTCACTGCAACCTCCACCTCCTGGGTTGATGTAGTTCTCCTGCCTCAGCCTCCTGAGAAGCTGGAATTACAGGCATGCACCACCATGCCCGGCTAATTTTTATATTTTTAGTAGAGATGGGAGTTTTGCCATGTTGGTCAAGCTGGTCTTGAAATCCTGACCTTGAGTGATCCTCCTGCCTCGGCCTCCCAAAGTGGTGGGATCACAGGCATGAACCACTGCACCCGGCCTAGTAGGGACTTTTTTTTTTTTTTTTTAATCCTGGGACTCACTTGAATCAGCTGCCTTCTGGGTCGCCCAATAACCAGGTTGAACAAGATTCTCAAGTGCGGCATATCTTGCCTTCAAAATCCAGAGAGGCGAAAAAAATGCCGTGCCTCTTTCTTAGTGCCAGGAAGCGCAGGGTGCAACATCTGGTCCTGTACAGCAAGCTCTAGGACAGCGCTTTTGGAAAGAATATGGTGATTGAGGGAATCTGAGGAGATCTGTGTCCAATATAGCAAGAATAATATGCACAGTGGATCATGCGGAGAGAGTTCACTTTTTTATTCCTACTGTCTGCTTTCAGGTAACAAAACTGATGAGTTCTAATTTTTACCACCCTGCCCTTTGTGTCCAAACCTGACAATGGCCCATCGTTATCTTAGTATAGTCAGTGATGATTTGACAAATAACTGTCAAGGCCTGGCTTTGCCTTATTTGAGGATTACCTGGCGCCATTTTACAGGTGAGAAAACTGAGATCATGGTCAAGAGACTTGACTTCAGTCACACAGTAAGAACATTAATCTGAACTTGGGGCTTCCGATCTGGAACTTGTAGGCTGTGGGGGTGGAGAGAGATACGCGGTCATGTCCTGCATGCCATGAGCAAACGCTGTGCCAAGTGCTTTACTGGTATGAACTCACATGCCATTACCGGCCTGTGAAGTGGGCGCTGTTATCATTCTCCCCACTTTATAGACAGGGAGTCCGAGACTCGGGGAGGTTAATGACTTGCCCAGGGTAACTCGGAAAGAGGTGGGGATTAGAACCAGATGGCCTGGTGTCAGATTTTGGGATGTCAATCACTAGCCAGTATAGCTGCCAAAGAGTTAGGGACACAGCCACCCACAGATGGGTGGGCACTGCTCACTGCTTTTCCATGGAATGAGTTCATGGTAAAGACACCTGAGGAGAAAGGAAAAGGAGCAGGACTTTCCAAAGCCTTGAACTACTGCTGGAGCAAAAGAGCTCTGTACGGAATTGCCCTGGGAAGACTAGTTTCAAGCTTTTTTTGGTTTGTTGTTTTCAGAGTTGGGGTTTTGCTGTGTTGTCCAGGCTAGACTTGAACTTATTCTGAGTAGCTGGGGCTAGAGACACACACCACCACATCCAATTCAGTTTCAAGCTTTAAGAAACGAGAATGCAGCTGGGCACAGTGGCTCACGCCTGTAATCCCAGCACTTTAGGAAGCTGAGGTGGGCAGATCACCTAAGGTCAGGAGTTCGAGAACAGCCTGATCAACATGGAGATACCCCGTCTCTACTAAAAATACAAAATTAGCTGGGCATGGTGGCACATGCCTGTAATTCTTGCTACTCGGGAGGTCGAGGCAGAAGAATCGCTTGAACCCAGGAGGCGGAGGTTGCGGTGAGCTGAGATTGCACCATTGCACCCCAGCGGGGAAAAAAAGAGAAAACCCCCCTCAGGGAAAAAAAAAAAAAAAAAAAAAAAAGAAAAAAGAAAAGAAAAGAAACCAGAATCCAGGACGTTTTTCTAACCACCAGCCCCAATCCTACCCCTGCAGGAATGTATGCTTTACAGCCATTTAAACCCAAACATGGACTCATTTGCAGAGCCATAGTATCTTTTTGCAAGTGGTTTTCTTTCAGCAGAATGTGCTTTGCCAACATCATGAGCAATCATAGCACCCTCCCACAACACCACTGAAAGGAGCAGTGGGATATCTTAGATTTCACATAATGCCTTTTCTCTGAACAGTTGTAGGCATTTGCAGAGCCAAAGCATTACTTTATAGTTACTCTTCCTGTATCTATTTAGTCAACATGGATTCTATGCCTACAGTTCACCAAACATGCAAAAGTAAATAAAAACTCAGCTCCCTGTTTTGGAGTTCACATCTGAGGGAAAAGAAATAACCATCGCGTATTGACTTTTTATTTCTTTCCTTATTTTTTTGAGACAGGATCTCTCTGTGTCACCCAGGCTGGAGGACAGTGGCACAATCACAACTCACTGCAGCCTTGAGCCCCCAGGCTCAATTGATCCTTCCACTTCAGCTTCCCAAGTAGCTGGGAGCACAGGTGCATGCCACCACACCCAGCTAATTTTATTTATTTATTTTATCAGGAACACGTGCACTTTATTGAACACCAATGTAGAAAAGCGTGTGAGGACAAAGTGCTGATACAGGACTTGGCTCGGGGCAGGGCGAGGAATGGAAGCTGGAGTATGGGAAACAGGTCACGGGCAGAGCCCCTGGCCTGGATGATTCCTCTCGATCTCTTGATAGGCTTGCAGAATCAGTATTGGGATGATGATCAGCAGAATGGTCATGATGATGCCCATGATCAGGGCCCAGATGTTCAGGCATTTGGCGGTGGAGGCATCGGCCTGGGCCCTGGTCAGGTCACCAACTATCTTCCTGTCCTGAGACTTCACAGAGTAGGCAAATGCTATGAAGCCCAGGCAGCAGGAGTTCATGAAGAAGGTGTTGAGCAGGGACCAGATGACGTGGTCGGGCACAGAGGTCTCGCTGTGGATGTGGATCACGGTGGATGTCAGGGGAGCTGGGTTGTGGGGCGCCCCCAGCGCAGCCACCTCGTGCTCTTCCCTCAGCATCTCATAGTTGGGTGGACGGTCGGTGTTGGCGGGAGTGAAGAAGGATTGGACAGTATGGCTCATGGTGTCCAGGGAAGACCAGCTGTGGTCAGGTTGCTGGGATGGTTCTCAGTGGGCCCTCCCTTTCCCCACTAGATTATTTTTTAATTTTATATTTTTGAGACAGAGTCTCACTCTGTCACCCAGGCTGGAGTGCAGTGGCATGATCTCAGCTCACTGCAATCTCTGCCTCCTGGGCTCAAGTGATTCTCCTGCCTCAGCCTCCCAAGTAGTTGGGATTACAGGTGCTCACTACCACGCCTGGCTGCTTTTTGTATTTTTAGTAGAGACGGGGTTTTGCCATGTTGGCCAAGCTGGTCTTGAACTCCTGACCTCAGGTGATCTGCCCACCTTGGCCTCCCAAAGTGCTGGGATTACAGGCATGAGCCACTGCACCTGACCTATTTTTAAATCTTTGTAGAGACGGGTCTCCCTATGTTGCCCAGGCTGGCCTTGAACTCCTGGGCTCAAGCGATCCTCCCGTCTCAGTGTTCCAAAGTGCTGCCATGAAAGGCAGCAGCCACCCTGCCCGGCTGCACGTTAACTTTTTAGTGCCTCTTCGAATTGGAAATTAGCAGGTAACAAGTGAAATAGAAGTGAGAGACTACGAACCTGAAATGGTCAGCCCTTGGCCCTGACTTCAACAGGGACTTTTTTTTTTTTCTGTGGGTCTGACATGTGTATGGCTGGGTTTCTAAATCAGGCTTTATTATAGAATTAGTGCATGAATTTATAATGAGCCAGGTCTAGTAAAATCGGTCCTTGTTCTTATGAAGGTATGAAAAAAAATTATTTCACAAAATGTTATATAGTATAATAAGATATCCCCCTTTTTTGTTTTTTAGGAGAGATGGGGGTCTCAACTATGTCGTCCAGGCTGGTCTCAAACTCCTGGGCACATGCAGCCTCCTGCCTCAGGCTCCCAAAGTGTTGGGATTCCAGGACTATAGTGGGCTCAAAGGTCAGCTGATTTACTCGAATAAACAACAAATCCATGGCAGAAGTGATAGGTTTCAAGTTTATTTTCTTCATTTGTTTCCACTCTGAGGTGGGAACCTTGTCTTATTTGCGTGGAATTCTCAGTGCCTGGTAAAATGCCGGCATGAAGGAGAGGCTGAATAACTATTTACTGTATTGACATTCTGAGGAAAATATAGCAAAGAGAGGAAGAAAAGGAAGGTGTAGAGGATAATCGCCCTTCCAGGGAGGGGCGGCTCCGTGTTGCCTCCTCCCCCACGCTCCCGATGGGCCCCTCGCAGGCTGCCCTCCTGTGGGTCCACGAGCCTCCTCACGCACAGCCGCGGGTCAGCCTGTGTGTGTGGCAGATGATTCTTCACTCACACGCCTGTGTGTTTGCCACGGGCACCCGAGTGGATGAGGATGATGAGGAAGAAGGAGCCGTGGTTGACCCTTCCCTGTACAGGTGACTGTGAGGCTATGGAAGGAGAGTGGGGATCGGGGTCTTTTTGAGTCTCTGCTCTGCCACCAGAAAGGCCCTGTGGCCTGTGGCATATCCCAGAGGCCCTCTAAGCTTCAGTTTCCTCATATGTAAAATGGGAATAACCCAGACCAAGTCATTGTAGGTGGGAAATGCCCAGTGACTCAGTGCATTGCTTTGTCAACTGCAAAAGGCTGCTGCTGTTAGGCTGGAATTATTATCATTGTTATGTTTATATTATATTGTAGAGCAGTAATAAGAAGTGGAGGTCCGGCCGGGCGCGGTGGCTCAAGCCTGTAATCCCAGCACTTTGGGAGGCCGAGGCGGGTGGATCACGAGGTCAAGAGATCGAGACCATCCTGGTCAACGTGGTGAAACCCCGTCTCTACTAAAAATACAAAAAATTAGCTGGGCATGGTGGCACGTGCCTGTAATCCCAGCTACTCAGGAGGCTGAGGCAGGAGAATTGCCTGAACCCGGGAGGCGGAGGTTGCGGTGAGCCGAGATCGCGCCATTGCACTCCAGCCTGGGTAACAAGAGCGAAACTCAGTCTCAAAAAAAAAAAAAAAAAAAAAAGAAGAAGTGGAGGTCCATCCAGTCAGCTCATTCAAGAGAGTTGAGCCCTCCTCTCAGCCTCCTGAGTAGCTGAGATGACAGGTGCGCGCCACCATGCCTGGCTAATTTTGTATTTTGGGTAGAGACGGGGTTTTACTATGTTGGGCAGGCTGGTCTTGAACTCCTGACCTCAAGTGATCCTCCCACCTTGGCCTCCCAAAGTGCTTGGATTACAGGTGTGAGCCACCGCCCCAGTCCGGTTGTCTTTTCCTATTTGAAAAGGGCCAAACAAGGAGAGCAGTGAGTCTGATTGTTAGCATTCAAACACCTGATTGCCATTCTCTCCAAAGACCGCTGTCTAAGCATTGCTTTCCAGGCAGTGGGGCAGTCACAGCAGAGCCCGTCAAACGCTGGGGCTCTGCTCTGCATGGGCTGAACGCTTGTTGGCACAGCCCACTTCTGGAAACCGTGCTCACCACTTTGATACACACTATGATCACTGCCATAGAAGTGTTTTCACCTTTAAAATGGAATTAGTCCCTCTGTGCATGGAAGCCTGGGCCCAAGCCAGCAGCTGTTTCTTTCTTTTCTTTTTTTTTTTTTTGTTTTTTTGAGATGGAGTCTCGCTGTGTCTCCAGGCTGGAGTGCAGTGGTGTGATCTCGGCTCACTACAAGCTCCGACTCCCTGGTTCAAGTGATTCTCCTGCCTCAGCCTCCCGAGTAGCTGCGATTACAGGCATGAGCCATCACACTCACCTAATTTTGTATTTTTAGTAGAGACGGGGTTTCACCATGTTGGCCAGGATGGTCTTGAACTCCTGACCTCGTGATCCATCCACCTCAGCCTCCCAAAGTGCTGGGATTACAGGTGTCAGCCACCATGCCTGGCATGGTTGTGGGATTCTATCAGCAAATGGATGTGCCAGCCATCAGAAGCGTGGGTATTTTCTTCCTTTCTTTTCTACCAGCCCCCAGAACCCTGAAGGGGGCATTTAGCAAACTTCTTGTTCTTGCTGACTAGGGCTGAGGATCAGACCTCAGGTCTCCCCTCTGGGTTTATCTGTCTCTTCAACCTTGCATGCTGCTGGGCCCTGAAAGGCCTCCCAAATGTCATCCTCTCCTCAAGGACCTTACATCCTGGAGAGGAGGGGAGGAAACTCAAGAGAGTGCGGTCTGGGGGCATCTGGGCTGGGCCTTAAAAACTAAGTAGGATCCTGATAAGAAGTCATGGGTGGAAAGGGTGTCCTGAGCGTGGGGAAGGGCTTGGGCAAGGATGTGGGGGCAGGGTGGGTGGTCACTTGGAGCTGTGGCAGGAGCACGCTGGGTCAGATCAGCTTGCCCTCCCCACTTCTCTCCTTCTTCTCTCTCCTGCTGTGGGTGCTTTGCTGCCAGAAATTTCCTGAGCCTGAATTTGCTGTTAGACTGAATGGCAACGGACCGGCTGGGGCAGTGGGGACAGGAGGGCAGGGGGAGGTGTCCCGCAGCAGCTGTAGCCCTGTGTCAAGGGGCCGCATGTCTAGATGGTGCTGGGTCAGAGCTGGCAGTGCCTGGAGGGGGTGGAGAGGGATGGTGAAGAGAACGAGACAGCCTGAGAGTCTGGAGAGACTGGCAGAGACAGTGCTTGGCAACTTGAGAGCCACGTTCCAGGACTGCTTGGAGGTCATCGGGGAGGGATACTGCTTGGTATCCTGGTGGACTCAAGGATAGCAAGAGATACCCTAGAGAGCCCAAGGAGGCTCTAGATGTTCTGAGGGACCCACGAAGCTAAAGGCATCAAAGGAACTAGAGGATGTGACGGTCGGGGAAGAAAGATGTTAGAGGGAATTGAGGATCTCACAGACCCTGAGTGCTGGAACTGGAGGGCTGGAGGGGATGGGAGATTTAAGGGTTTCCCTCCTCCCTCCTCGATCATGGCTGAGTGTAGACTTGATGGCTGAGGTGTAGTCATGGCAGTCAGGCCTTCAGATTTCCTAGTGCAGCTCCAGGGACTGAGGTCCTCACACGTGGTCCCAGCATCATCCTGGACCACCTCAGGGACGAGGCAGTTGGTCCAGCTGATGCTCTGGCTCAGGCATCATGTGTCCCGAGGTACGTGGCAGACTTTCCATTTGACAGACGACTTAACCGAGGATTGGAGAAGTTAATTACCGATAACTTTCTTAGAGAAAATTAAACTTAACTAGTTTTAGTTAAGTATGTTGAACCAAGATTCGGTTTAGGTCTGGCTCTCAGGTAGTATTTTTTTCCTTTCTGTACTCTGCCCCTAGTTGGCTTGTTGTCATTAATACATCGAGTGTCTATTGGAAACCTAGAATGTGCTGGAATTTGTTATGGCTTCAAGCGATGCAAAGATAAAGAGACATGAGGATAAGAAAGATATATAGGCAAACAAATCCAGGTAATTCAGAGTTTAACTTTGAAGCAAGGATTTGGGGGAAGAGGTATAAGAAGGAGCGATCCATTCTGCCTAGGATGAGATTGCATGGGGGAGAGAAGTCAGGAAGGGCTTCAGAGAGGAGGTGGCAGTTGAAAGAGCTGATTTAAAAGGGGAGTAGGTGATCCTCAAGATAAATGGGAAGGGAGAGGTGGAGGAGAGTGGAGGATGCTGAGTCACAGGAGCAGTGAATGAGGGAATGCAGGCTTAGAGCTGCAAAGCCCTTTAGAGGATGGTATGGGTGCGAGGGGGCAGGAGGCTCAAGAGAGGAAGCCTGGAGGTAGGCCTGCCTGCAAGCTTCGTGCTTACCTCATTGGCACTAGGGAGCCATTGAAGGATTTTCAGCAGGAAAGCGTTGAGATCCAAGTTTCATCATCCTCATTCCTTCATTTACAGTGCTCTTGTAGCCTTTGGTGCTTACACAGCTCTGTGAGGATTTGCAATTATACATGTCTTCTCTCCTGGTAGACAGCATGCCCCTCAGGGCAGTGGCTTGTTCTTGCCCATCTTTGTGACTTCTTCACCCACTGCAGGACCTACTATGAGTGGGTATTCAGCACATCATTATTCGCTAAACACATTTTGGTGCTGGGGCCATACAGACAATGTCCTGCCCATAAGGACTAATGCCCACCCATCTCCAAAGCCCTCTTGGTCCA